ATATAGCGCCTTTCTATCTTATCAATAAATCTTCAAAATTTGAACAGCTATTTCGAGCTTGGGGTACTCATTCTTTGCAGTTCCGGGTAATGGATTTTTTTTCTTACCTTTTTAAAAGCAAAGAGTCTTCTGAGACTAAGACAACATGCTGGTAAGAGACGCTCCCTAATTACCATTCTATTATAAATTTATACCAAATAATAGTAACAGCACATCTAACAACAAGGAGGTCAGAGAAATATCAGCAACACTTTGGGGTCATCTACTCATTACTGCCATGTCCTGGAAGAGAGTTTGTGATAAATAAGAAACATTAATTTGAGTGAATATCCTCTAAAGTCGACTTAGGGAAGTATCAGAGGTCTTATGAGTTTTAGCACGATCTGGGGCTCTAGGGCGTTGCTCGGCTCAAAATGGAAGGGAAGGCTTTCCCTCAATGGCTTATACGAGCTTCAAGGACTCATAATTCCCTATCTCAGCTCATCAGAGCAAGGAAATCTCAACTTTAGTGGACTCCCAATCCTTTGGACATCAAAATCAATAAACAGGATCCTCTCTCGAGTAATATACAGTATGGACTCTTTATTACTGAGTTCATTATATAATCAAATGTAATCATTTTTGGAGTGTGCAATTAATGCTGTCCCCTTGCAAATTATTAATTAAAGCAAAGCAAAACATAAAAACCTGGACTCTCATTTCATTACTTCGTGTTCATGGATTTAAGAAGCTTGGTTCAACTATAATTAAAGTAGGAGGTTTTTAAAGGTTTCCTCAGATGTAAGTAATTAAACAACATCCTAGAATCTTATCCCTGAATTCTAAAAAGAACCAGATCAGTAAGAATTGCCATTCTACAACGAAGGTAGGCGGCCGTTAATGTGAGTTTCTCTGTGGATGACGATCCAACCCCAGCTGCTAGGTTGGGCAAGTCACGAGGTGAGATAAGGGTGTGGCTCACAGATAGAGGTCATTAACAAATCTGTGTGAGTCACCTTCAACACAGCCTAAGAAGAACTAGCATGTAGTAACTCTGGGTAATACCTTAGCGTAGGTTTAGTTCATTATACCCCTTAGAGGAAAGGCTGCAGTGGGGTTTAGGCATAACTCAGGTGGTAACTCCACTAGGAAGATTTGATATACTCAAAGTGCTTTACACTACAATATGTGCCCTCATTTACCCATTCATACAGCACTCTACTATATCTCTACAAATCTAATTGAACAAATCATTCTAAAGAGACTAATCAGTGCTTTATCACATTCATAAACCGATGGGACACACATCGAAGGCAGTGAGGGGTTCAGTGTCTTGCCCAGGGACACTTTGGCATGTGAGTGCTGGTGAATTTGAACCCCCAACTCTTGCATTGGAGGACAACTGCTCTAACAACTCAGTCACAACCACCCACAGTCATCTCGTCTTGAGCTGAGTTTTCCAGGGTGCCGCTCAATGCAGGTGGTACAGGAGAGGTTACTGGTTCAACAACGCGCCATCCAGATGATGATGGGGGTTGCTCATTGCTGTCCTCCCCTTCCCCTTGTGGGTGCTCCAATGTAGGCCCTTCAGGAACTGTGCAAGTAGTTCCTGTCTTGCTCATGAACATTGAAACAGTAAAACATCTGTTCAATGTCTGCTGTAATGGCAACAGCTTCCTTTCTGAAGCGTATTAAGACGCCTAGCTGTGAGTTGTTAAGATCTGGTCCTGTTAACAATACATCGTTCAGTGAGACACCCTCGTACTTACCTGGGTGTCTTCTTGCCTGGCGGTGGCCGCGGCGTGGTGCTTGGCTGGGGGACTGGGCTGTGGGGGGGCTGTGACTGGGGTGGGGTATATTGGGGGCTCTCGCGTGGGGGGCTCTGTGCTGTGGGACCGGGGGAGTCTGGGCTCGCTGGGTGTGTGCCCTCACTTGCATGGGGTGCTCTCACTGTGGGTGTTGTTATGGGTGGACTGGTCTCTTGCTTTTTTGGGGTGGGGGTGCGCTCTTGGTCGCTGTGGTGCTCTATCTCTGACTGTTTGGGCACTCCTGGCTGATTGTCCCAGTTGGGGTTTGGTGGCCTCTCTGGTTGGGGGGCTGGGTGTTGGGCTGGGAATCGGGTTGGGGCATCTGAACGGTTTCGGGATGGGTCTGGGTTGCTGGCCCTGGTTCTGGTTGGTCCTCGGGGGCTATGTGCCGGTCCGTGGCTTTGATCCCTGGTGGTGCGGCTGCCACCTCCTCCTAGGTATCTCTGTTAGAGCCTCTCTCCCCTGGTGGATCTCGGAGAGTGGGGGTGCCTATTGGGGTCAGTGGGGGAGCTGGTCCCCTGGGGGGGCATTGCCACCTCAGTTCACCTCCCCATCCCGACGTCCTCCTCCGCCCACTCCACCACACCACCACTCAAACAGGGTTTTGGGGTTCAGGTGCACTACTGAGCTACGGGGAGAATCATACATCTCCGTGGCTGGTGGGGTCCTGGGCCCTAATTTTAATATACAACCTAGACACTCACTTATAACACTCTCACGACACATGCATATATAGGATCTGGAGTGGGCACATGGTCGCATTTAGGTGGTGGGATGTACAATCATTTCCACCTCCCGGACCTGTGCCCACTCTCATATGTAAAAAAAAAAAAAAAAAAAAAAAGACACCCTCGTACTTAGCGCTGCTGACAAAGATGACCCTGATCTGTTTGGGTTTACGTGGGTGGTAAACACCAAATAGTGGCAAATGCCAATGGTCCTCTTTATCTTTTAGTGGAGGGGCAATTTCTGCATATTTGTTTTTGAATACTTTGTCCAAGAAAGTCACAAAGTGTTCCTTCATTTCCTAATTACTTTCAAAGTTGCGAACAAGTGACATCAGGCTCTTCAGGGCCTGTGGTCTGTTGTTAGGGAGCTTTTGGCGTGGCAGTTTAAATGGTAATGGAGCTGTCCAGCTGTCATCTTTGTCCTTTGTTACTCCTTCCATTATCTTTAAGAAGGTGTTGTCCTGAATGGAAGGTGAGATGTAATTGTCATACCTGGTTTGCTTGAACACATTACATCCTAAGTGGTCCGATTCACAAGTGCTGTCCACAAGCTAGGTGCTAAAGTTGAATGGGACTTGTATTTCTCAATTTCTCCTTTATACTGAAAACATTGAGGCATGGCTCAAACATTGTGGGATGACCCTTCTCAGTGGCATTTGTGAACAAAGTCTTTACAGGAAGGGTTTTGTGGACATCACCTACACACACATTTCCTACTATGACCCATCCGAGGTCCAATTTTTGTGCATAGGGTGCGTTTTTAGGTCCACTTATCTGTTTACAGACTTTGTGAACTCTAATAACATCCCGTCCAAGGAGCATTAAAATTAGTGCATTAGAGTCCAATTCAGGGATGAGGTGAGCTACTAACTTCAAATGGCTGTGAAGCATAGCTGCCCTGGGTGTGGGTATCTCATCTATGTCATTTGGGATATTTTTGCATTCAATAAGGCTAGGCAGTGGAATGTGGACTGAACCATCTAAGGCTTCCACTACATAACCTGTAGCTGTCCTTCCCATTGTATCTTTAGTTCCTGCACATGTCCTAAGTGAGTAAGGAGAACTGGGTCCACTATCATCAAACAGTTCACAGAATTAGGGACATACTAATGATCTGTTACTTTGTTCATCATGGATGGCATAGAGCCTTACTGCTTGTTGTGGGTGGCCTGTTGAGTACACTTTAATAAGATAGATTTTAGAGCATGCTCTACCTGCTTTATTCATGCCACAAACCTGGGTGCAGCTGGAAGTGATCTCTGGTTCTGTGGAGTCAGGCTCCCCGCCATGCTCTACTACAGGTTCAGTTTCTCTTAGCCAGGGTGCTGGCCCTGGGTGGAGAGCAGTGCAGTGTTTCTCCCTGCTGCACTCAGAACACTGTACCTTAACTTTATAGTCCTTTACAATGTGTGAAGATGAGGCACAACAAATGAAGCAAAGGTTGTTCTCCTTTAAGAACATTTTACTATCATCCAGTGTTTTCATACGAAATATTCTACATTTTGAGAGAAGATGAGGTTTTTTGTGAATGGGGAAATCTTGCCACTATCCAGATGTGAGCAGCTGGTTTTGGTTGTCAGCAGCAAAACTGGTTGATCCACTCTGAGAAGGTGCTATTTAAGAGACTGAGCTGAATACAGCACCTCAGACTGAGGAAGTCTTTCGGATGAAAGACGAAATGTTTCTACGTTTTTTTTGTTGTTTTGCTTTGTTTTATTTTTTGAATATCCAGAGGACCAGATTTAACTTTTTTAGGTCTTTGTGAGAGGTTCCACCGCTTAATGAAGGCTGCATTGCGGGCCTCATTGGTGGATAATGGTTAGATGGATTGCCTGCCGTGGGTTTTGTTGGGCCTGCGTTCAGCTCCTAAAGAGGAACTGCGGTTTTCTTCAGCTGAATTGGTCCTTGGCCAGCCTTTGAGGGTACCAAGGGAGTTTCTTCCAGGTCTGGTGGGTTCAATTGTTCCTAAAAGGGAGTAGGGCGGTCCTAACAGGGAAAAATAGATCTGTGGCCCCAGTGGCAGCACATCACTGCCTTCCACAGGTGTTTGTGCCGAAGGACCTTATGTCGGCCAAGTATGTATTTATCCGCCATGACGCACACTATTCACCACTTCAGCCTCCTTACGATGGTCCATTTCGTGTTTTGGAGAGGGGACCTAAAAGTCTTGGAGGGCAGATCCTTGTCCAGACTTAACGATGTTCTGTGTGAGCTCCTCCATGGAGGTCCTTCACATTTCATTATTTTGGGGATTAAGTGAAAACTGCGCTTTGCCCAAACGTCTCCCCGGTTGTAACATCCTCTAAACCCAGCACGAAACAACCATTGCAATTTACTTAAAGAAAGAAAAAAAAAAAACTAGATAAAATTTAACTACCAGCAAACTTAACTGTGTCTGTACCTGCTGCTAGAGGCAGCCTCCCAACATGGAGGACGTACCGGAAATGCCCCGGATGTGACGTCACGTGGGAACTATGTATAGTTCCAAACAGCGCTCTGGGCAGGTCAACGTGTGCGCGCTCCCGTGGCGCATTGACAAAAATGGCGGCCGTCGTCGGATCAGGTATTCTTTTTCTTTGAGTTTACGGATATTTTGTGTGTGTTGGCGCATATTTACATTCGGAAGTCAAGTGTTCATTGTCTTCATGTGTCTGTGGGACAGCTGGACACTTTCCGGGAGTCCAGCTGCTGTAAAGTTTTATTTTACGTCACTCCGTGTGACACCAAAGCTGTCACCAAGTTATGCTAGCTTGGTGACAGCTGAAAGGGTTGCACAGTTTTCTGCTTCAGCCTTGGCGTGAAGCAGCGGAGCGGCAGAGGCCGAGGACAAGTTGTCGGGTTTCTGTTAGCATCGTCGGGATGTGTGTGGTGACGCCCAGTCACATCTCTCTAACAAACTCACGTCTCAGTCGTACAACTATCAGGTCTCTCTTGTAAATGAGTCCTCGAGGCTCAATGGGAATTACCTGTATAAATAAAGGTTGATTGATTTACACTTGAAAAGGGTGAATAAACAAACACTTTAATATTCCCATAGTTGGAAGGTAACAGAAGAGTTAGAATATGATGATAGCCTTGCTGGATTCTGACACAACACCTGAGTAATCCACTGTATTTCTCTTAACTGTGACTTGCGGTCAGTGTGCATTTCTGTAGAATGTCACAGTGTAGGTTGTTGAGCTCGGGAGCTACAGCTGATGTCTTTTCATTTGTGATGGTGTGAAGACCCCACACTGGCTCTGCCGGCACTCTGCGCAGGCGCAGTTGAAACCTTGCCCTGTCCAAAAACCAGGAAGAAGATGTTTGTTACAAACCTGCCAAACAAGGAAGAGGAGACTCTGATGCATGCTCACTAATCCAGGTAGAAAAATCTAAAAAAGGTAAGTCAGCTCCTCTGGACGGTTTTTGTTGTTGTTGTTTTGTTTGTTTGTTTTTTGAACCCGTCCAGAGGAGCTGACTTAACTTTTTTAGAAGGAAGAAGATGCTAATGAAGACATGGCTGGAATTAATGAGGCATCTTTTAGGAAATGCCATGATCCAAGTTTTAACAATACCACACAAATAAACCAGAAACCAGCTCTAAAAATATAAACCATAAAAATCTTATTAAAATAAACAGTTACTTTACAAGAACAAAAGAATAAAATAAGTAAATATGGTTTGTTGAACATCATATCTCTTTCTTCTAAATCCCTGTTGGTCAGTGACCTGATAACTAATCATTATATTGATTTGTTCTGTCTAGGGGTGGGCGATATGACTCAAATATAATAATGTGACATTTCAGAGCATTCTGGCGATAATGATAAATTTTGTAATATAACAAAAAACTCACAGAAATCATAGTTATTCATTTGACAAAATTAACATAACTTGTTGCTTTGCAGTATTATATAAAAACAAAAAAAAAAAAAGAGGGTTAATTTTACTGAAATTACTTTATTTAGTAAAGTATTCAGTCTCAAAGTATAAAAATAAAAAAAGATCCGTCTGTTATTTAAATGAAAAAGTCTGCACAAAATATAGATCAGCTAAATCCACCACAAAAACTCAAGTGCAGGTGAAGTTTCCCAAAATAACTAAATAAAATGAAGCTGAAGATCTGTTGATCATCAATGTAACAAACAACAAAATATATGTTTCCTTTAAATTAGGGCTGCACCGATTGCAGTTTTATGGCTGATCAGCGATTTCTAAAAAGTCTGACCTGCCGATTTAGTTTTATAATCAACACTCAGGTGTTATAAGGTCACAATGTACCTTCAGTTTTCAATCTTATTGAAAAAATATCCTTGAACAACATCAGAGTCAGAGTCAGAGTTTCTTTATTGTCATTCGCACCTCATGTGGTACATGTGGTGGAGCGAAATTATGTACACAGGGTCCCAGTTACATCCAACAATAAAATGTCTAAGAAAAACAGTAATAAGATCTAAGATATGAACTAAGAAAAACATCAACTAAATATACACTAAGCACTCATAACATAAAACATTGAACATCAGCACAAACATGAACATGAGTCTGTGAGCAGATGTGCACGCATGAACACATCAACATTGAAACAGATCAGCAGCAACATGAAACAGATCAGCAGCAACATGATGTGGTTTTTCACAGTGATTATTCTGGTTAGAGATTCATGAGTCTAACAGCCTCAGGGTAGAAGCTGTTCCTCAGTCTAGTGATTCTGCACTTAATGCTCCTTAACCTCCTTCCTGAGGGGAGTGGGGCAAAAAG